ATCGAATTTGAATCGAATTTTAAAAGATTCATATTCGTAATTATTTTTATATTTCTTTTTTCCTCGATCAATTTTCGATCGATTCGTCTGAACCTTTCCAACGAAATTGTAAAAGAACATCCAATTAAAGTGGAAATTTTGATTGTAAAAGATCCATATCCAATTATTTTTATATTTCCTTTTTTGTACAAAATTTTATCTTTTTAGTTTCGATCGAATTTGAATCGGATTTCCAACGAAATTGTTCGTAAAGGAGCACGCGATCAAAGATTACGATTTTAAAAGATTCATATCCAATATTTTTATATTTCTTATTAGAAAATTTTTTCCTCGATCAATTTTCGATCGATTCGTCGGATCTTTCCAACGAAACAAAATTTTGTTCGTAAAGGAACGATCCGCGATCAAAGCAGAGATTATTACTTTAAAAGTTTTCGTATCTCTAATTATTTTTGTATTTCTTGTACAATTTTTTCTCCGATCGAATTTTCGACGAAACAAAATTGTAAAGGAACACAAGGATTATTATTTTAAAAGGCCCATATTCGTAATTATTTTTATATTTTTACTTTCGGATCGGATCTTTCCAACGAAACGAAATTGTTTATAAAGGAATGGGTTTCGTTTATTTCAGATAACGTGTGTCTCGTTTGTTACGTTTCGAACGGTCACATAGCCACGTACAGTTTGCCAAGTCTGAGGCCACTTATAGACGTCGATTTTCTACCGCTTATAGATTTGAGGTAAGAATAACAATTATACCCTGAATAATTTGCTTTTTGCGGCAAAATAACCATTACAATTGCACATGGTATATAATGCACTAACATGCCACTGCAACTTTTTTTCTAACACAGCAACATTCTATAACATCATACGTTTATATTGAACGGTAGCGTGAAACTTATTTTATATTAATAAAATTCTTTTCTTGCCTAATACTTTCGATTGAACCATTTTCGCAATAAATATAATAGCGATTAATAAAAAAAAAAAAAAGAAAAAGAAAGAAAAACGAGATAACAATTTTGGGTAGACAAAATGCACGTGTGAAAGCGCTTAATTTCTTTAAAAATTTAATCCCAATTATATTTTTATATAATCTTTTCTATTCCTATTTAAGGCATTATCACGATATTGATTGACAAACTTTATTATTTGATTGAAATATTGTAACTTTAATCGATAAAGTTGCTATCGACAAAGAATGAAAAGAAATATAGGTAAGATATTAAAAAAAAAATAAATAAATAAACTATATATATATATATATATTAATTCTTCGTCCAAATTGTATATAAATTTTACGTCGTTACTGATTTAAATCTTTTTATCGGTTGTACAGAAGAATAGACTTAAACTGTTTCGAAAGTAAGCGCGATAAAACTATTGAAAACTAAAGTTTAAAAATTAATCTTTAATATGACTTGATTTCAAATCACGGTGATTCATATTCGTTTTACATTGTCGAGCGCGTAATTGTTGTTTTTGAAAAAAATTATATCATTTATCGTACAAAATTAAAACATTTTCTTTTTTTTTTGACCGTGAGTTTGAGGAACGAACTCTGAAGAGAACGAATATCAAGTACAGTTTTGAGCTGATAGTAAAATTTCACAATAAAAGTAAATATCGTGAATTTAAACATATCGTTTCATTGTATAGCGTTATGCACCATGTAGCTGATTGAACGTTGACTAGACATTATATTTCTATTTCTATTTCTTACACCGATGTTATAAATAATTAATTATGATTAGTGATATGATACAACGATACTAATTTTACTAATACTTGCAGCATGTAATTTCTTTACTATATTTAATTATATATTTATATATATATATATACATATGTACGTATGTATATATATATTCGTTATACATGTACATATGTATATATTCGTTAACCCTTAATACACTTGTTAGCATGCCTTGCGTAGAAATTCTTTATACAAGCACAATTCTATATTGCACTATTTATATCTTCCACGTACAGTTCGAAGAATAAATAATTTTAAACTGCTATTATTTTAACAAATTGGTCGTTATTCCTTTCAAAAAAAATTATTTGCATCTTCAACTTTTATACGCATCTTCTTTTTATTATATAATATAATATTTCTTCTTATAAATATTTACAGTGAATAATATAAATATTCATATCCTGATTAAGAATGTTTTACAAAATATACGTGTTTTTTTTTTTATGTATACATACCTCTTGCCTCACTACGCATATTTGTACATTATCAGTTACTCGAAGAAAAATATTTATACTTTTACAAAATTACAAATTCCTCGAGATACGTGCTACTTTTTTTTTTTTTTTTTTTACAAAATTTAGAAAATTTAACTCGATTGTTATTTTCCTTTTAACACTTCGGATTAATAGCCCTTTTTAATTTCCTGATAGAATTGTGTACGCGGTATAAGCAGTAGATTCCATAGATATATGGAACAAAATTTTAAATTGTAATAAAATTTACCTACTACGATCGTTTGTATTATCGATCGTAGGGAAGAGAAAGAAAAATCTCTGTTATTCGTAAAATTAAACTTACTCGCCACTCGATCGATACTTTTTTTCGTACGATATTTCACGACGAATCAGAATATGAATATCGTGGAAATTTTCACATTAGATTTAAGATTTAAGCAACTTTTTAGCAAAGATACATCAGACATTAATTTGACATTACAATTGTTATTATTATTTTATTATCGTTTTCTCTCTCTCTATATATATATATATATATATATATATTAGTAAGAAAGTT